TACATAAACAAAACGGTAAGTTGTTGATGCTTTTCACACACTTAATTTAGAATGACTTCATTTAGAAAAAAAAAATGTTGCAAAATATTAGTCTTCTGTGTGGACTAATACTATCGGCTATGTATCAGACAAAAGTTAAAAACCTGCAAAGATGTTTGGGCTCTAGTGTTTTTCTACATACAGATAGGGTATAATGAGTTAAAGATGGAGAGAGCCTTATATTTGGGTTTCCTTTGCTTTTGTTGGGTTTATGTTAAAAATTTAACATTACAGAAATGTGTTTTTGTGTATGTAAATATACAGTCTATTCCATAGCAATGTAATATCAGTTTAACATCAGCTGCTTGAGCTTAACATCAGTAATGAGAGCAATAAAGACCCTTCATGCATATCTTTTGATTCTAATGACACATACCCAACCAATCAGCATTGTGGGAATATCTGCATTAAATATCATGAAATTAGATAAACTGTGTATCTTCTCTTACAGCTTTGAAGCTGATATTAGAGAGTGCATGGTTGAAGTAGATTTGCATGTAAATTTGCACAGCTTCAGTAATCTTATATGTGAAGTTGTTTAATGCTTATGAGAAGAAAAATAATGAGGTTTAGAGAATCAATTGGATATTCTGAAATCCAGTTTGAGGGGGTTTCAATTAAAAATAAATAAATGTCCTTTGGGGGCTGAGGTATGGACACTCCACATTTATTTGCATGAACCCACTATCTCTTTCATCTCTCTGTTTCACATCAAGGGTCATAAGAAACATATTGTGTGATCTGCATATGCTCGGTGGTAAAAGAAAAAAGGTCATCTGTGGCAGAAATCTGATACTGCAAACACAAGTAGTCCTTAACTCATCTGAGCAGCCCAGTTAAGTCCAATGGAGGAGTACTTAAGAGCTAGATCATGCCTTCTCAAGGCACAGCCCAGAGAAAAAAAGGGGGACTGTAATGGTGCGATACTCATAAGAACGGCCGTGCTGGGTCAGACCAAAGGTCCGTCTAGCCCAGTATCCTGTCTACCGACAATGGCCAATGCTAGGTGCCCCAGAGGGAGTGGACCTAACAGGCAATGATCAAATGATCTCTCTCCTGCCATCCATCTCCATCCTCTGACAAACAGAGGCTAGGGACACCATTCCTTACCCATCATGGCTAATAGCCATTAATGGACTTAACCACCATGAATTTATCCAGTTCTCTTTTAAATGCTGCTATAGTCCTAGCCTTCACAACCTCACCCCTGCAGCGCCTCCTGCTGGTCATCCAGGGAATTAGCATTTCCAGCTCCAGAGCGCCCTCTGCAGGCCGGTGTCCCGCTTGCCGCTGGCCCCTGTGTCCCTCCCAGACCCCGGTGCCCTTTACCCAGGGGTTCTGCCGACCGCACCAACCCCCAATCTGGGTCTCCCCACTCAGGGGAACCTCCAACCCCTTATCCCCACCTTGCCTCAGTGGCTACTGACAGTCACCATCTAGCCCCCACTCACTAGGGCAGACTGCAGTCTGTAAAGGCCACTCATTATTGGCAAGGGGGGTTTGGACCTGCTGCCTTGGCCTACCCTGCGCTGCACCCCTGCAACCCCAGTACCCTTCCTGGCCTTTCATCAAAGGCCTGCAGCTTGGGGGTTTGCCAGGCTGGAGCTCCCCAGCTCCTCTAGCCTTCCCCCAGCCCTGCTCCACTCCTGGTACCCTGCTCAGCTCCCAGGCAGCGAGGTCCTTCTCTCTCTATGGCCAGAGAGAGACTCTCTCTGAACTCCTGGCCCACAGCCTTTTATAGGGCCAGCTGTGGCCTGACTGGGGTGTGGCCCCAGCTGAGGCTGTTTCCCCAATTAGCCCAGGTTTTTCTCTTCCCAGAGCAGCCCCCTCCCCGGGCTGTTTTAACCCCTCCGGGCAGGAGTGCGGTGACCACCCTGCTACAGGGACATGCAGAGTTGCACTGTCCCAGAGTTCTGGGAAGCATTCTGCCTCCTGGAGCTCCTCAGTACACAGAGGGAGCACACCCAGTACTACACCCTTTGTGGGTGTAGGTTGCTCCCCCTGCAAATCTGTTCCACTCTCTGGGAGAATGTACAGATGTGAGCTTTCTTTTCCCACTTTGGGGTTCTATGTACCTCCAAGGCAACAGGGACAGTGCAATTCCTACGCTCCCTGACAAACAGAGTGCACATGGGAGAGCTCTATGCCATTTCTGACAAGCTATGCATCCATTTAAGGGCCAATCAGAATCTGGCTTTAGACAAGGAAGCATTCTTCCCACATGAGCAAATGTTCAATATTATGCCCTAGATCTTTTTGACTTTGCATGGTTTAGGTGACTCTTTACAAGCTTATTTCCGCAAAAGGTATAGACCATTTCTGCTCAACAGAGTATTACTGAAGAGCTTTTTTTACATAAAACATTTATTAAAATCCATGTACTATTCAGCCTCTTTTTAAATTAGCTACAGCTGAAAGATAGGTCTCAGAAAGACTTTTACATAGACTGTAGATTATTATTAGGTATATTCTACTTCTTGGACTAATTTCCTTAAATTCTGTTAATTTTAAACAATTAAATAAGAATTCTCATTCATGTTACTCTCCAATATATTACTGTACAACTATTTAAAAAGAAAAATACATTTAAAAAATAAATCCATCTTTGTACCACAAAGAGCTCTGCAGGAGCAAGGCCTGCTACACGGACCCCAGTAGAAAAAGGTCTAAGGAATGTATTATGCGATCACTTACCCTACAGAACTCAGTGACTGCTACGGGGAGTTGGGTGAGCTGTAAAACTGATCAACCTGGGTGACTGGTAATGAGAAGAGGCTTGCTTATACTGGAGATAAAGTGGAAAAAAGTAATTGGAAATCAAATCTGAGACAATATACTGATTAAAACAAAGATTGCAATGGCAAGAATTGTAGAGTGATAACTAAGAGAGCTAGAAGAGAGCTTCAAATGTGAGGATACTGAGTGTGCTAGGTGGTAAGGACCTGCTGTCTTCCCAGATTGTACATCACTGTCTAGTTCCTCCTAAAACAACAAGTTAAGGAGTACCCAATTTTGAAGGGAGGTGTTATAGAATTCCTTCCAGGTCTGAATAGGCAAGTCATCTTAAAAGTGGAACCATCTTTGAAAATCTATTGAATGCTAGGTACAGAGACTTTTTTTTAAATGAAGTCACCTTGAGAAAACTGAGTCAAGTACTCCATTTTTTCCCTGAGGCTTTCCACTTAATAACTAGCTGATTTAGTTTTCAGGAAAGGCAGCATTTGTGCTTTTTCCAATTATGTCAGCCAGAGGCAGGTTTTCACTAAGATGCACAGTGAGGAATATTTATTAATCAGTGCCCATACTCCCTCCATATGATCTCTCCCTTCCATCAATACTTCCATTCCCTCCTTTCCCCCCACTCTTACTAGTCATGTGGTCTACCATTAAGAAATGACATGGAAGGAGGTGTTTATTCATTTCAATAAAGGCCATCAATTCCACAATGCTATATTTTATGGAACCTGCTATGCTAAATTGCTGCTCAGAGTAAAGTTTTTAGAAGGACAGCTCACACATTTTATTGTTAGAGCTGGGTGAATAACTAATTTTTCAGTTCAGCTGCAGTTCTGAGAAATAAAGTGGGGAAATTGTTTTTGGTTGAACCGTATCTGAAAACTGTAAGATTTTTTGTTGAATTGAAAATATCTATTTTGAGTCTGTCCCAGAGCAGAGTTTCAAACCTAGGTCTCCCGCATGCCAGGGAAGCATCCTAATTGCTAAGATAGGGGGAGCAGCAAGATCACTCCCAACACTGCCTTCTCGGGCTGTTTTGGGATTGACTGAACTGATTGACATTAGTTTTATGAATAATTTGTGGTGAACCAAAACAGCACTTTTTTGTCATATAAACTATTTGTCCAAAAAATGTCATGCAGATCTATTTATAACTCTGAAAGAGAACTGGGCAAGATCCCTACTGAGATGCCAGTTCAGTGAAGGGTTTGTACCTGCAGAAACAAGAATAACATTCTGCAGATATCCATCCATGTATATCAGAGCACACCTATGACCCCACAGCTGAGAGAGGTGCTAGAATGCTTAATTTTAGAATCCTACTAGGGCTTTCCCTCCTATGTTGCCTTTATTGGGCATAAGTGCCCATTAAAAGCATTTAGAGGTACAGATATTTTGTAATGTCCCCCCCCCCAGATCACAGGCCAGAGATCTAGTTTGAAAATATTTCTGCACCCTTCCCCAAGTGAGAGTAGACACCTACACAAGTATTCTTCAAATTACCAATTTGTTTGTGACCGTGATTGAGGTGGATGTTCATAACTGACAGAACATTGGTGATCCTTTCACTGAAATAGATATTATTGTATATGACACATTCATTGAATAATTTCCATTAATTTGTTAAAATAAAAATCTGTTTTATTCAAATTCAGACAGAAAAAGAGCAAAATTAATTAATTAAAGTATTAGCTACTAATAACACACCCTTAATTATAGTTAGAATATGTTTCTTCACATAGCTCTGCTGGTTGTATCTCATTTCTGTTCTATAGCATCTCTGCATTCACAGCCTTTGCCTTTCCTATACATAATGTTCATTGAAAGCTGGTTACTTTGCACTGGATATGTTGCACGTACCGGCATATATTAAAACAGGAAGGCAATATCTTACAGGATTCATTTTGTATACCATTTCTCTTTAATCTTCATTACCTATCTAACTAATGTTCAGATGTTTTATATCTCTACCGTTCTTTTTGTTTGCACCTCAGGAAGTCTTTTTCCTGAGTCTCTGTAACTAATGCATGTCTACCTTAAAGAAATGACTGTTTTAAAATACACAAAAAGAATGGTTCTCAAGGAATTTGGGGGGGGGGAGAAGCAAAGATTGTCTTGTCACTTAAACCATCATCAATCAAATTATCAGATCGCTAATATCATTTGGATAGTCTTCTTTAAGAATGCAATATACTAAAGGACTAACCAACTTTATTTGCTTTTAGACTTATTGGAATATTGGTCTCGTTGTGCAACCTTAACAAGCCAGCCAGGAACAGTAAGCCATTACCTTGATGAAAATATTCATTTCAACTCTTCACAACAATGAAACTGAGAGGAATTCATCAGGTGAACAGCAGTGCTGTGAATATATACTCATGTGAATAGGTTCAAAGTCATGTGTCACAGAGTCAAACTGCATAACCTGACAGGTATTGAAAGAGGCTAATTAATCACCTCCAGCATCTGTTAAGGCAAAATATATTTTCTTTAGTCTTTCAGCAGGGAGTTTCTGCTTCCTGCAGTCCTCCATATCATGAAGTGTTCATAGTCATTAACATGACAATAGTCATACCAATCCAGGGAAACAAAGAAGACGGATTACTACTGGATTTGGGGTCTCATCCAAAGCCCACTGAAGTCAATAACTTCAATGCACTTTGGATCTGGCCTTAATTGTGGCTGCCTGTGCATGGCCAATCTGGGAAGAAAAGTACAGAGCATGTGCAGGAGGCAATGTTCACTGAATACGATATGGGAATTGGCTTGCTCGTTTGGAAGTGTTCTGTGTCCCCCAATGGCTATTGTTGGTGATCAGTTTCCTGTCTTTCTGCCAGAACTCAGAGACCAGCACTGGGGGAATGCATGCTACTCTTTTTATTTCATAGATGTAGGAAGTGCTGCCACTCAACATATTTCCTGACCCCCAAGCCATTGGTTTATGGTAGAACATCTTAGCTCCCAGTGGTATTGAGAATATGATTTTACTGAAGGGTACACAAGAAGAATTTGACTCGTGTTCTGTGTTGCACTGTTAATGAGCAGACAACTGATTCTGAAGGGCTGGATGACCCCGCCATCCACATACACTCCCATTAGAAAAGTTGTCAGCACTGGAAAATTTAAGATAGGTCTTTCTTAATCACTCCAGGGACCATTTATTTCACACTCCTCAAGAAAACTTCACAAGGTGGTTGAAAGAGGGAATTGTAAAATGTTATCTGTTATGTGTGTGTTAATTAAGTATATGAATGTAATTTCATGGGTTTATACTCTTCTTAACCCTCCAATGCTTTGTATACATTAATTTTTAGCGCACTATGAATTTACCTATAAATTAAAATAATATTGTAATGTATTCCTCCTTGTTGACTCTGGGTTTTTTTTATTCAAATTGTATTGTGTTTGTTTCCTTTTATATGTTTATGAATTAAGATAGTAAGTATGTTAGCTTGGCTCTGTTTCTGTATGTTTTAGAAACAAAAAACAAAACCCAGGTTAGAGAGATGCAGCTTCCATAGGATTTTTGTTCATTTTTAAATGAATGAGTGAATGATTTTTTTAAAACAAAACTTAATTCTGAAACATAAACAATAAATTATGTTTCATCTCACAGGTTATGTGAAATTTAAATGGCAAATTGCCACTCTCAAACTGGAAGCCAGCCAGTAAAGATAATAATCTTTACTACCCCTCATTACAAACAAAACACCTAAGCTTTGGGTCAGGGTAGAATTCCTGATATTTTGGGCTATTTGTTACCCAGTAAAATTTGTCAACAGAAAATCTAGTTGCTGTAATTAGTTGTATAATAAAATAATGCTGTCCACTCTCAGAGAACCTTTCATCAGAGCTGAGCTGAAATTGAGACAGTTAACCAATCCTTACAACACCAATGAGAGACAATTTCACAGATGGGTATACTGAGGAACATATAAGATACAGAAAGCAACATTCTTGGTAAAGGTCACTGTGAATAAATGATTGAGCCAGGAACAGAACAGAACCCAGGAATTCCAAATCTCAGTCTCCTGCTCTGAAGCTTATCTGAATCTTTCACTGGTATAATAGAAAATGGGATAAGGGAATGTGGCCAAACCAACAACATAAATCCAGAAAACTTTTTTTCTTTTTTTTTTAAATCTTTTTTTCCATGAATCAAATCCCTTTTTTCCAATGATGGACCCATGCACTTGTTATTCTAGAAAACTTACCCCTGTATAACAATACTATGAGTTCTTGGATAAAGAACTGCTGGTGATCAAGACTGACTTTGAAGAGTGGCAACATTACTTAGTAGGGTTGCATCACATGGTCCAAGTGTTTACCAACAATAAAAACCTGGAGTACTTTCTTAGGGCCACGGTCTGAACCAAAAGCAGCACCAGTGGGCCTTGTTCTTGTCGCAATTCAGCTTTACCATTACATACAGACCTAGGACCCAAAATGGCAAGGCCGATGCCCTGTCTCAAAAGGAAGAATATGGCTCCAACCTGTACGGCCTCCACCAGGAACTGACCCATATTCTCAAGCCTGAAACTTCCTCAATGCAGCCCCCTGCCAGAATGTATTCACACTAATCCATTCTGCCTCTGCCTCAGGGATTCTCCCCAATGAGCTGTCCAATATAAACAAAGAGCCACATCATACCCAGGCAGGAATCACATTCAGGAATGACCATCTTTACATTCCCACATATCCTGCAAGAGTGACGGTCCTACAGTTATGTTATGACTTTGTATGCTTTAAGACCTCGTGGCTAGTGTCCCACTTCTTCTGATGGCCCCAAATGCAGCCCACAATTCAACCATTCATTGTTTCCTGTGATGTGTGCATCTGTGTCAAGGCACAGTGCCATAAACCCTGCAGTCTTCTCCAACTTCTGTAAACCCTGTCCAGATTCTGGGTGGCTATCCCTTGGCTGTTGTCATGAAACTACTAAAATCCAATGGTCATGAGATCTTGACTGTAGTAGACCACTTTACTGAGATGGCCCACTTCATTCCCTGGCCATTCGGTCTACTCTCCACTGAGCTATGGATAATCCACATAGTCCATCTCCATGGTCTCCTGGATCATGTTGCCTACCATCAAAGGCCACAATTCATTTCCTGATTCTGGCATGAAAACCCTATGCTTATTGGTGGTCTGCACACACATCTCCTCCTCCTACCAACCCCAGTTGAGTAGCCAGAGTGAATAGTAGCTGTGCTATTTCAATTATTACCAGGCTTATTGGCTCTCACTTCTGGCCTACACAGAATTTGTGTATAACAACGCAGACCATGCAGCCATGAGTCAAAGCCCTTTTTTCCAGTGATGGTTACCACTCCCAATTTCATCCAAAACTACCCACAAGCTCCTCTAACCTGACCACTTTAGACTGGCTACAACAAATCTATCAAATCAAAGCAAAAACAGACTACAGATGGTACATGTTTAGTGTTGTCAGCACAGCTAAACCCATTCAGTGGGTGAACAAAATATGGCTCTTGAGAGAATCATGGAAAGATCCTCTGATAAACTTGACTAACAATTCCTTGGCCCCTGTCTAGTCCCAGCACAAATTAAACTGGTTACCTGCAAGCTCCACCTACACTGATCCCTTAGAATTCACCAGGGTTCCAGGTATCTCTTCTAAAACCCACTCAGCAAACTCATTACCCCCATAAGACCCAACTAACCCCTGCCAGTGTGGATACAGGACCATGAGGAATATACCATTCACTAAGTCTTCGATTCCAAACTTAAACTAGGTACATGCTGATATTTAACTGGCTACAGCCCAAACGGGTGCACCTGGGAGCTGGAAGAAAATGTACACACACCCATGCAGGTACAAGCCTTCCATGAGAGCCATCCTGAGAAGCCCAGCCAGCATTCCCAGGGGAGAAGGTGATATCAAGACTCATGGATCTTGAACCTGGGTCTGCATGGTTCCTGGTGAGGGGCAGGGGATGCTCCAATCCTTCTCCTGGGTAACATCAGTTAGAACCAGATTCCTTGAAGCCCACCTCAGATAAGCGGGTTCAGCTTTTGGCCCTGATTGGTGAAACACTGGATCACCTGATTGGTCTGCTGCCCCTACTTAAGCCAGAAGGAGGAACAGGCAGTTGTCTGTACAACTGAGTTCTACCCTGCTTTGGACTGTTCACCCACCACTGCCTAGTTTTGTCTCTTAATCCTAATTTCTGGTATCTGACTCTCAGTTCCTGTGCTCAGCTCATCTCCTGACTCTGACATCCTGGTTTCTTGAATCATCCTGATTCCTGGTATCTGATTCTCAGTTCTTGACCTTGTGGTTCTGAAACCCGCAGGCATGGGGACCTGGCCCCCCTCCCTATGCTATCCACTAGGTCTGACTGCTGAGGGCCCAGCCCTGACAGTCATGTTTTGTCAATTTTCTGTTAAAATCAGAAAGATCATATGCAGAGAGAGAAGTGGAGGCTAGCGGAGGGTTTGAGGAGAGAGTAAAAAGTGGTGAAAAGGTGGCTGAGATTGCTGGCATGAAATTCAATTAAATTGGAGAAGCAGAGTTGTCTCTGTGTATATCCTCACATTACTGAAGTTTAAGCTTGAAATGACAAAAGTCTGGAAACCTGTTTGAAGGTCTACACTAGAGAGAAGGTTGCACTCCACTCATCAGACAATATGAAAAACATTGTCTTTCTATCTCCTAAGAAGTTTCTCCTCATCCCTGGAAGACATGGTTATCGATGCAAAGGTAAATGTGATCATAGAATTCTTTCCCATTTACTACATTCAATACTGTCATCACTTGAAAAAAAATACTATATGTAGATCACTGAAGCTACTCAAATTACTCAGCTATTTTGCTTTGCCATCCTAAGCATATGTAGGCCATCATGATCTTTCACAATTTGGAGGCTAAGTGACTGAGGCTAAAATCTCAATTCACTGCACATTGCAAAAAAGCTTAAAACTCCTTCTTATTCATGTCTCCACTCGTTACCCTTCACTTGAATAAGCAATCATTTAAATAGTACAATCAGCAGAATGAAATACATACTGGTACATTCTGTATCTATCCCCTTCTCTCTATTATCGATGTTGCTAGAAACCGTTTGTATTGTTATCCTTTACTTGTTATTTCATTTGACTACACATCTAGTGTACTTTTCAATGTATTAATATTTACTTCTGCTAATGTTATGATCTTCCTGTTAAATAGCATTGAGTCAGACTTAATAAATACTTGTACACTTATGTAAAATTCTCTTTCAAAACTTGTATAGGCTCCATTGTAGTTTTCCTTCAAAATCTAGAATGCTCCAAAGACAATATAAATTCTCAGGGTGAAATCCTGGCTCAATTGAAGTTAATGGGAGTTTTGCCATTGAACTCAGATGAACTAGGATTTCACTTTCAGATGTCAGGGGAGAAGCTGACCACAGTATCATGGAGGTTAAGAATAAACTACCACTCTATGCAAGTAATTATCCACTATGGTGCTTTAGGTAATTGCTTTGTGTATTTTGGAACTCAAGAAAATTGTCTCTAGTGTCATGAACACACCATATATTCTTACATAAACTCATAGGCAATAATAGCCTAGCCTAGGGCAAGATTCTGATATGCTTACTCCATTAACTTCAATGGAACTATTTGATAGTTGGATATTATTCAAGGTGAATAAGAGTGGCAAAAACTGTAAGTGAGCTTTTTGTATTGCAAACATTTGCTGCGGTTGGGGTCATTAAAATTTGTTAGTGAAATTGGAGCAATTCTGAGGGGCAAAAGGACTCAAACATAGAAGTGTGCAAAGCTTCAGCCAAGAGGATTCATGTGAAAAGTCCCATCGCAGCAGCAAGAGCAATCACCTTCTCCATCTCTACTGTCACTACATAGGCCATGTGCGCTGGAGGACTGCACACAATCCTGAGTTCCATTCCCAACTTCAACAGTGTTTTAATATTTCCCCCTATATCATAGTTGAGAATCATAATTCAGTGATGCTTCACAATACTTTTATGCAACAGGTACACTTATTCTTATTTTGCATATGGGGAAATGGAGTCTTGGAAAGAATTACCTCGCCTTGTCCAGAAAGTCTAATACAGTCCGAGAATGCCAACTGACATGAACAGTTAATTTAACTTCCCCCGGTGTCAGAAAACTGAATCATTACTACCCATGCAAAAAGACACACAAGAAAAAACATGTAAAATAAACCTCTATATGATCAGGTATGTAGAAAACTCAGTTCAAGGACAGATTAGAAATGGTGGATAAAGG